AGGTCTGCTGCCCCATCCTCACCTCCTGCAGCATGGAGTTGATTGACAGCTCACAAGCATCATTCATTCCTCTCTCCATCGACGACAGGTTGTTCCTTCAAGCAACTTTTCCTTTTTTTAAAGATGTTTTTTAATATTTATTTTTATTTATTTATTATTTTTATTTACTTCGGCTGTGCTGCGTCTTAGTTGTGGCATGCGGGATCTTTGTTGGGGGCACGTGGGATCTTTTTTAGTTGCGGCATACGGGCTTCTTAGTTGCGGCATTTGGACTCCTAGTTGCCCACACGAACTCTTAGTTGCGGCATGCATGTGGGACCTAGTTCCCTGACCAGGGATTGAACCCGGGCCCCCTGCACTGAGAGCAGGGAGTCTTACCCACTGGACCACCAGGGAAGTCCCCGTTTTTAAATTCTTTATGAATTTATTTTGAAAGGAACCTTTTGCCGTACAGCTGAAACGAACACAAGATTGTAAATCAAATATACTTCAATAAAATTTAATTTAAAAAAAAAAGGAACTTTTATGCCACTGCCACAAAAGGAAAACAAGACCATTTCCATAAGTGGAGGGCAGCAGAAAAAAGAACTACATTGGCGGGGGCAGTGGGGAGGTGATATTAAAGTCAGCTAATGCTGCTGCCTTCATAAGACTCAGAGCTGGGACTAGGGTGAAGACAGTGAGGCACTCAGGAGCAAAGTTTAGGGGGTTGCTGGCTCTCAGGGCTGGGCCTCATTCCCAGGGGCCTGAGAGCCATGGCCTTGCCCTCTAGTCCAGCCATGGATCAAAGACTGCTCCATTCCTTAAAAAAAAGAAAGAAAAAAGAAAGAAAGAAAAAAAGGAAAATAAATGAAAATGGAAAGAGATTACTGAGGTGTTGAAAGGTGTCAAAAACAGCTCATGCAGCTCAATATCAAACAAAACAAAACAAAACAAAACAGGGCTTCCGTGGTGGCGCAAAGGGCTTCCCTGGTGGTGCAGTGGTTGAGAGTCCACCTGCCGATGCAGGGGACACGGGTTCGTGCCCCGGTCCGGGAAGATCCCACATGCTGCAGAGCGGCTGGGGCCGTGAGCCATGTCCGCTGAGCCTGCGCGTCCGGAGCCTGCGCGTCCGGAGCCTGTGCTCCGCAACGGGAGAGACCACAACAGTGAGAGGCCCGCGTACCGCAAACAAAAACAAAAACAAAAACAAAACAAAAAAAACAACCCAATCCAAAACTGGGTGGAAGATCTAAATAGACATTTCCCCAAAGAAGGCATACAGATGGCCAACACGCACATGAAAAGATGCTCAGCATCGCTAATTATTGGAGAAACGCAAATCAAAACTACAGTGAAGTATCACCTCACACCAGTCAGAATGGCCATCACCAAAAAGTCTACAAATAATAAATGCAAGAGACGGTGTGAAGAAAAGGGGGCCTTCCCACACTGTTGGTGGGAATGTAAATTGATGCAGCCATTACAGAGAACAGTGTGGAGGTTCCTCAAAAAAATAAAAATAGAGTTACCATATGATCCAGCAATCCCACTCCTGGGCATATATCCGGAGAAAACCATAATCCAAAAGGATGCATGCACCCCAATGTTCATTGCAGCACTATTTACAATAGCCAGGTCATGGAAGCAGCCCAAATGTCCATCGACAGAGGAATGGATAAAGAAAATATGGTGTGTGTATATATATATATATATATATATATATATATATATATACACATACACAATGGACTATTAGTCAGCCGTAAAAAAGAATGAAATAATGCCATGTGCAGCAACATGGATGGACCTAGAGATGATCAAACTAAGAGAAATGAGGCAGACAGAGAAAGGCAAATATCATATGACATCGCTTATATGTAGAATCTAAAATAAAATGATAAAAATGAACTTTTTTACAAAACTGAAATAGACCCACAGACATAGAAAACAAGGTTATGGTTACCAAAGGGGAAAGGGGGGGAGAGAGATAAATTAGGAGTTTGGGATTAACATATACACACTACTATATGTAAAACAGGTAAACAACAGGACCTACTGTATAGCATAGAGAACTATACTCAATATTTTATAATAATCTATATGGGAAAAGAATCTGAAAAAGAATATATATATGTGTATATATATATATATATCTGAATCATTTTGCTGTACACCTGAAACTAACACAACATTGTAAATCAACTATACTTCACTTTTAAAAAAAGAAAGAAAAAAAAGAAAAGTGTCAAAGATATAACTACAATAAACTCAGACTTTGATTTTAATCCATGCAACCATTTTTTTTTTTAATTTATTTTTTGCTGCCTTGGGTCTTCGTTGTACTGCATGGGCTTCTCATTGCTGTGGCTTCTCTTGTTGCAGAGCACGGGCCCTAGAAGGCGCGGGCTTCAGTAATTGTGGCTCGCGGGCTCTAGAGCGTAGGCTCAGTAGTTGTGGCGCACGGGCTTAGTTGCTCTGCGGCATGGGGATCTTCCCCGACCAGGGATCGAACCCTTGTGCCCTGCATTGGCAGATGGATTCTTAACCACTGTGCCACCAAGGAAGTCCCACGCAATCATTAGTGAGCACAGCTGTGGACCAGGTGCTGTTAAAGGTACAGGGGACACAGCCTTGACCGCAGCAGGTGCACTGGAGTGATGCGGACAATGAACAATGGATAAAACAAGTGGAGGATTCTGGTCCCCACAGGCACTCAGAGGAGGCCCTCAGAGATTAGGGGAATAGGAAAAAACCCACATAGGCTAACACTTTTCTCGCTGGTCAGCTTCCACACCTTGCTAGGTGTTAAAAATATTTTAAATGTCACCTCTGGCTTTATAGCTGCTGCATGATCTCCCTGGCCTTCTCTCCTATTTCTCTCCCCGCCTAGTCACTTGGCTTCAGCCACACAGGCCTCCTTGCTCTTCCACACCAGCCTCAGGGCCTTTGCACAGGCTGTTCCCTCTGTCTGGACGTCTCTTCCCCAGATCTCCATGGCTCCTCCCTCCTCACCTCCTTCAGGTGTTTCCTCAACTATCATCTCCGAGAGGCCTTCCCTGACCACCCTATTTAGTTCAGCAACCCCCCAGCACACCCCCCTTTCATTAACCTGCGCAATGTTCCCATTCCTAACATTCTCCGTAATTTCTTATTTATCATGTTCACAGTCCTCTCCTGTGATGAAACGTCAGCCCCACAAGGCAGAGATTTGGGTTTGGCTTGTTCACACCTGCACGCCCCCAGTACCTAGAACAGTATGCAATAACATAGCCTGGCATGCTAAGTTTGTTGAGTGAATGCATGACTGTCAGATCTGTAAAAGGAGGAACGTAATGCCTAATTCATCTCAGGGCAGTGGAAACATGAAATGAGGGGAGACCTATGAGCCACAAAGGAGAAGTTGTGACAGGAGAGATACCCATGGTGGGGTTGGGGGAACACTGCCGTGACCAGCTCAGGATATTTTGAAACTGGGGTGAGATTCACGTGACATAAAATTAATCATTTAAAAGTGAACAACCCAGTGGCATTTAGTACATTCAACAATGTTGTGCAACTTCCACCTCTAGCCATCTTGTAGCATGTATCAGAACTTCATTCTTCTTTATGGCTGAATAATGTTCCATCGTGTGGATGGATCACATTATTTATTTATTTATTTATTTGGTGGCTCCAGGTCTTAGCTGCGGCACGCAGGCTCCTTAGATGTGGCACGTGAACTCTTAGTTATGGCACGCATGTGGGAACTTTGTGAGGAATTGCCAGACTGTTTGCCAGAGCTGTTGAAAGCAGACCCACATCTGAGAGAAGACTGCAGATGGGTTTATTCCTCCCAAAGTCCCTGCCCAGAACACAGCACTTCTTTCCAGGACTGGTCATGACCATCAGCAGCATCTGTGGTCTCATAGTCCATAACCCTGGAAACCCGTGAGGCGGGGGCCCAGATGGGGAAAATGAGTCATGGGGAGAAACTGACGAGGGCACTTAGCCTAAACCCCCTTCCTACCCCGCCTCACCCCACATTCCATGACCCCCTTGCAGTGGCCCTGGGAGGCCGGAGTCCACCCTCACTGGGCATTGTCGGCTCCCAGCCTGCGGCACCCAGAAGCCCTTGCAGAATGGGGAATAAGCCAAGAGCTGTGAGAAAGAGGTGGAAACGGCAGCGAGACTTGCACACTGTTCCCAGCTCAGGACTGCAGACCTTCCTGTTGGCGCCTGCCAGTTCCCCCCTCTCCCACCCCTACCGCCCACCAGCACCCACCACCCCCCAGCTGCTCCCCTTCCCCAGCTGTGCCTCCCCACCTCTGGCCACCTCCGGCTGTCTTTCTTTTGCTTCCTCTAAATGCTTCTCGTTAAAGCCTTTAAATATTTTAAAATTTCAAAATATTGTTTGCAGGGTCTGGTTCACAGAATTGATGATATGTCATTCTCATGACCATGGGTCTATCCATGACCCACTTTACTTTACTCATTAATTTTTTTTAATTCCATAAGGTATACCCACAAGCCCTCAACAAGAAGTGGGAGATGGCCCTGCCCTCTCCCGCCACCACCCTGAATTCTGTTTGTTATTTTCTCACTCCTTTATTTTTTTTATAATAATCACTTGTATTTTTATTTATTTATTTTTAATATTTATTTATTTGGTTGCACCGGGTCTTAGTTGCGGCAGGCAGGCTCCTTAGTTGCGGCTCCAGGGCTCCTTAGTTGCGGCTCGCCAGCTTCTTAGTGGTTGCTTGGGAACTCTCAGTTGTGGCATGCATGTGGGATCTAGTTCCCTGACCAGGGATCGAACCCGGGTCCCCTGCATTGGGAGTGCGAAGTCTTATCCACTGTGCCTCCAGGGAAGTCCCACTCCTTTATTTTTTTAAGTTTTCTTAGACATGTTGGTATGCTGAAAGCTTATCTTGTATCAATTTCTCTGTCTGAGCTTTATGACTCGGGTGGCTTTCAGATGGGCTTTGGGGACTTCTTTTTTGCTCAAGATTCGACTATGATCAAATCATCATATCACAGGCTTTAAATATATTACAATTTTATTTGTCAGTTACACCTCAATAAAGCTGGTGGGGGGTGGATAAAGATTCTACTCTGAAACCTGTCCAGCTGCAAATTAAGATTTTTGCACTGCATCCAATTTTTAAAATGAAGAAAGGAGTGTGTTGCCAGGACCCAGCCATCTGGCAGCTGACCCCTGGGGTTCTTTTTCACAGCCGTGTAATATTCCACTGTTTCTCCAGTTGCTACTGAGGAAACATGAACGTTCTGTTAAAGTCTTAACAGCCATCTTGTTAATGTGCTGCCTTTAAAGAATCATTGGTGTTGCTCCTTTTAAGCAACTCGCCTCTCTGTTCCCTCTTACTTCCCCAAATCTTGGGGATCGCTGGGAGGGGGGGTGAAGTTGGCTACCCCTGAGGAGCCCTCTCCGACCCGAGGCCATCCGCTGCCCTGTTGGCCCTGCAGCTGCTTATAAACCAGCTATTTATAGCCCCACCCCGCCCCCAGCCCATGTCACTGCCCACTTCCTTGGGGCCACCAGTGAGTTCAATGCTGATGGGGAAGGGGAAGTGGGTTGCTAGGTGCTGGGGTTTGTTTAGGGTTTGAGGTGTCCTTACAGTTTCCTGAAGGTCTTCATTTCCAAGAAGCTGAGAACACTGATTTGATGGCTCAACCTACTTTTCTTACCTCAGTCAGTTTGGGGTGAGGGAGGAGGTGGAACAGGGCGCTGGGACCCCGTGCCCCGTCCTTGGCCCTAAACGCAGCCCTCTAAGGCATCACAGCTTCTTGCTTCACTTCTCATTGGCTTTGGGCTGCTCCTCCACATCTTCCTCTATCCCCCATTCAAATGGGGTACAAAGCGCCCCTGAGACCCCCATAGCCCCAGCCCCTGGAGACTGAGAGGCCTGGGCAGTCTTGGGGGCCCGGGCTAAATAGGTGCTTGTGCAGTGCTCCCCAGCACTCTGCCCCAGGGCCGTGGCCCCAAATAGCTCAGCTTCTATATTTAGAAGTTTGCTCAACAGTGCCAGGGAACTATAAATACGGCCCAGCTCTGCTACTGCCTCCCAACTCCCCAGGCTGGGCCAGGCCAGGTGGGGGCCAGGGCTTAGGAGGATGCCAGCTGGGCCAGGGCTGAGTCTGCACCAGGAGTCCCTGGTCAGGTGGATTCTGGAGGCCTGGGCTCAAGGGAACCCAGGTGTCCAGCCTGCAGGAGGAGACAATGGGCCCATTGTTGGGCCTTTCCCCAGGTTGAAGGCCATCAGTCTCTGGCCTCCCACCCCCTTCCCTCACTCCATGGGGTTTCCTGGCGCAGGGACAGCTGTCTGGCCTCACAATAGCTGTGCCGTTCTCCTGGAGCCAGCAGCTGGGCTCATCCGCGTGGGGGCTGGCCCGGCCCCTTCCTCTGCCATTGTCTCCCTTCCAGGGGGCTTCCTGTTATGCCCCCTCTACCCGAAGATCCCATCTGACCCCCTCTCTCAGCCTGGGCTTGCGAGGGTGCTGGGCATGGGCTGCTGGCACAAGAAGCCAGGGGGCAGGACACTGGGGTCCCCTCGTCTCCCTCCCCACCGCAGAGGACAGCAAAGAAAAGGGTATCATCCTAAGAGCCACTGCTGTGGTTCACTGAGTGTCTATTCTCAGCGACATCCCTGCAATCCACTCACTCTCTTATGATCTTCACCAGCCCTGCTGCGAGGTTCTGACCATTTCACAGATGGGGAAACTGAGGCCCAGAGAGGCCACATCACCCGCCCAAGACCACACAGTCCAAAACATAGGGAATTCTCTGGCAGTCCAGGGGTTAGGACTCCATCCTTCTACTGCAGGGGGCATAGGTTTGATCCTTGGTCGGGGAACTAAGGTCCCGTAAGCCATGAGGTGCGGCCAAAAAAAAAAAAAGGTACATGATCTCCCACAGCACCACTTTCATTTATTACTAAATATTTTAAAAAAATAAAAAGAGGAAGAGGCTGGGTTTGCCCAGGACCTCTGCTATGAGATGGTGATGCCCTGTGACTGTGCATGTCATTTTACTACTCTGTGCCTCAGTTTCCCCATCTGCCAAATGGAAATCACAGCACCTGCCTCCTAGCCTACTGGGAAGATAAGTGAGTTCAATCCCTGCAAAATGATTACATACAGTGGGCGCTGGATGAATACTGTCATCCACTGTGATGATGTGTTACCATGGCAGCTATAAAAATAAAAATATAAATATAATATAATAAATAATACTATCATTATGATTGGCTGACTAGTCCTGGATCTGCTACTTCCTAGCTGAGGAATCTCAGGCCAGTGGCCCAACCCCCCAGGTGCTGGTTTCCCATCTGAAAAACAGGGATGCATGTCCCTACCTCACACTGTTGTGGAACAGAGGTCTCGAGATTGTCCAGGGCTTTGGGGCTGGAACTTCAGGGCAGAGGAAAGGGGGAGAAACACTGTGCCATCTCAGCAGGGGCAAGATAATGAAGCCTGTAGTGGGCTTCCTTCAGTGGAGGGTAGTATTACTAATTATGCAGCCCTACTGGGTGCAGGCTTTGCTCTGGTTCTACAGAGACACAAATGGACCAAAGTCCTGTCCTCCAGGATGACAGTCTAGGGGGGGTGGGGGGCAGAGAGTAAACAAATTAAGTAGGTAAATTTCGTGATGGGGGGATGGTGAAGGGCTACAGAGAACTGAGAAAGTAGGGAATATTCGGAGGATTACATTTATGACATGGGGATGGGGGGTGGGGGGTTGGTCAGGGAATGTTTGGGCAAAAACATGAAGGAGAGGAGGGAGCAAGCTGTGAGGTTATCTAGTTCTCTGGGTAAGAGTGCTCTAGGCAGAGGCAACAGCCTGTGCAAAGGCCCTGAGGTCACCCCATGCCTGGTGTTTTCCATAAGGAAAACTGTAGCCAAGCTACCGAGGAAAGAGTGGGAGGAGGTGAGGGCAGGGAGGTGACAGCAGAGCAGGCCGGGCCTTATGGGCCAAGGAAGGACTTGGGGTTTGACTCTGAGTGAGGTGGGAGCCATGGAGGGTGCTTGAGCAGAGGAGGGATGAGATCTGACTCAGGTGTTCCCAGGCACCCTTGGGCCACTTGGAGGGGAAAGGAGTGGGGGGTGGGGTGGGGGGGGGATGTCCCTCTTCGTGCCTTCCCCAATCCTTCTCTCCTATGTCACTCATTCCTTCCTTACCCTGCTCTGTGAGGCCAGTAGGCAGGAATTAAAATCCCATTCACCAGAAAGGAAAACTGAGTCCCAGGATGGTTAGACCTGCTCCAAGGGCCCAAGACACATCTCTGGGGGAGGAGAAGGCATGATTGCAACCCTTGGGCAGTGGCTCTCCCAGGCTGGAACCCCTACCCCCCAGCTTTTTCAAGCACCAGCTGTCAGACCTGTGGGCCTGTGGTGGGGGGAGGTGGGGGCATGTCCAGCCCTGGAATTTCCAGCTCTAAGGGAAAAAAGCCAAAAATCCACCTTGGGCCTTGTCTGTCCCCCTCCCCTCCCAGTCTCCTCCCATGTCCACACCCCTCCCCCTGAGGAAACTGAGGCACAGAGAGACCTCAGTTACCCTGATGGGACCCCTTTCCATGCCCTGTCCAGGTCAAAGGGACAGGAAGAGCAGGAAGGGGTTAATTTTAGGACTGGGGGTGCTCCACCATCCCTGGGATAATGCTTCTCTGCCTCTGGCCATGAGTGACCTTTTTTTTCCATGACTGCAATCCTAACCTTTTAAACTATTATGTACTTAATATTTTATTTAATTTTCTAAGCTTTTGCATCCTTGAATCCATTCATTTAAAAAAGAATCTTTATATTGATGTCCTGATTGGGAAACCCTTCTCACTGCCTCAAATAGTCTGTAAATTTACAAATAAATAAGAACACAAGGAACATAAACCATGGATTCTAGCTGGAAAAACCTCAGGGCCACCAAGGTGTTAGCACCCAGTAGAGACTTTCTCCTGGACCTTGGGCTCATTGCAGGGACCTGGGGACTGAACTGCCTACCTGTGGATCTCTGCTTAGCCACTTGTTACCTGCACCTCAGTTTCCCCCTTCTGCAAAATGGGAATCATAGCAACACCTGCCTCGAAGGTATTTCGAGGAGTAAATGAGTTAAAATAGATAAAGAGATAACGCTAGGCAAATCAGGCCTGGCTCACATTAAGTGCTTTCTAAATAATAGTGTTTTTTAAAACAAACGATCAGAAGGCTTGAGATAAACCAGTCATATGACTTATTTGAAAAGGAAACAACTCTCCTATCATGTGATTCTCTGTTGATTAGTGCAGTACCCAGGAATGCCCCAAATATAAGTTTCCTACCAGGTGAAACGCTGACCCAGAAAGGCCAGCTCCAGGAGCACGGTGGCCCCGAGATTCCGCAGTTTCTCTTCTTGGCATCAGCCTGGCATCCGTGAGGACCCCTTTGTGCCCCTCCCCCAGCTCTTCTTTGGACTCTGGCCTCTCTGTGCCTCAGTTTCTTCATCTGGAAAACAGAGGAGGAAGGTCCTGTTAGCTCAGAGGCTGGCCCTGGGGACTCAGCACGACGAGGCAGCGAGCACAGGGTGGTCCCCCAACGTGGGTGCCCTGAGCTATTATTTCTGACGTGGCTCCTCCCCAACCTCAATGCCAGACAAGGAAGACTTCCTCCTTGCCCCTGGGATCAGCCAACCCGAGTACACAGGGGCCAGAGAGTTCAGACACTCAACGGGCAGGTTGTGCCTCTGTGCCACGTTTGAGTGTGTGTGAGTGTGTGTGTGTGTGTGTGTGTGTGTGTGTGTGTGTGTGCGCGCGCACGCCCGCGCGCAACACACAGCGCCCCTGGGTCTGTGTTTTCACTGCACTTTCCTGTTGGTTTTCAGCTGCCCCGCCAGCTCCAGGGAGGGCACTGGGCCAGTGGCTGTCCCCGCCTTTATAAAGGGCTGGTGGGCCTTGGGGAAGCGTGCACAGCTGCCCAGCCTGGAGACACAGAGAAGCCCTGCCCTATCTTCTGCTTCCCCTGCGGGCAGCTTAGACCATGGGAGGCCCTCACAGCGTTGCATTGTTCGTCTTTCACGGTGAGAATTTTGCGGCCCCGTGGGGTGGGGGGCAGGCAGCAAGGGAGCTCCTGACAGCACTATGGGGTTCTCCGGCCCCCTCCTCCCCGGGGAGAAACGCAAAGTGCGGCTGGCAGCTCTGGGGCCAGGCCCGGAGGAAGCCACATGGTCAGGCAGGGGCTGAGGGCACATGGGGAGAGGGGCTGGTAGTGCCCAGCACCCCCAAGCCGTGGCAGGATCCCTCAGGGTGCTCTAAGAGCCTGCCCCCTCTCCCAGAGAAATCTCTGAGCGCTCCCAAAGCGGGGAAACAGGTTTGGGGAAGGAGAGGGGAAAAAAGTGAGTGCTGGGACTCCTGAAGACAGCCGGGCATAGGGGAGCGCTGCGGCGCTGGAGGGCTGGGGGGTTGGGGTGGGACCTCCCCATTGAGGGGGTACCCCCAACCTGTCCCCCACTGTCTCAGTGGCATGGGGCAGCCCCAGAGACCCTCATTCTGGCTCCCCTGGGCCCAGCTTGGACTCAGCCGTGGGTGGAAAGGACTTTGCCAGTGGACGGTTTGAACTTGACTTTTGCTGCGACTTCCCCAGGGCCTCCCTTCCCGCCCCACCCAGGGTGGCTCTACCGGTTATCGTGGGCAGCTGGTTGCCAGGGCAACCAAGCAACAAAGAGAATGAAGAAATGGCATTTGGGGTACCAACCAGAGCTTCCCCAGGCCACAGGGACGGGCTTCCCTGTGCTGGCCCGGGATGGCGGGCGTGAGCCCAGTGGCTCCCAGACTGGGAAGCAAGAAACTGGAATCTGTGTGGGGCACACCTGATGGGGGGCGGTGTGTCACCGGAGCCAGATCTCGCAGCCCCTGAATCTCACTTTCCACATCTGTAAAATGTGGCAAGACTGGTCTTCACTTTATAGGACTGTGTTAAAGGTGAACTGAGTTCGTATGCAAACTATTCCTGGTTCACAGAATTAAGTAAACGGTATTTATTATTATTATTATTTCACTGGCTGGTCTGGGGGGTAGACTGGGGGGTCCTTAGCAGGAGGATCAAGGAGAGGACGACTGCCCCATCCCCACCCCAGGAATCTTACGCCTCAGGGCTCGGCGGGGGGAATGCAAACCAGATGGGACTGGGAGCAGATGACCAGCGGCTCCACTCCCAGCTCCTGTTTGGGCGACTTCCAAGGACCCAGATGGAGAAGTCCTGGCCCAAGAGCCTCTGTGGTGGGGAAGCAGTGCCCAGCCTAGGCAGAGGTCACAGGGCACAAAACAACCGTCCCATCCCCCTGCAGCAACTGGGAACCTTGACCCCCATCAATTCCACCTTTTCCAAGCTCCTCTGTTCACCAGATTCTTCCTGAATCTTTTTCTGGGCTCCAAGCCTCAGTCTGTCCATCTGCAGAATGGACACAAACAGGGCAGTTGTGAACGTGAAAGTTGCTACCGGGGACTTTGGGAGCTGGGGACAAATCAGCCCAGGTCCCATCCTACCAGGGAAGGCCATTTTGTGGTGTGTCATGCGAAGAGGCACTGAGCCCCAGCCAAGGGGGAAACTAGCCAAGTCCGGTGACCAGAGAGGAGGACGAGAGAAATCCTCACACGAGGGAGGGGAAGGACATTCCAGCCTCAGTTTACCCTGGCTGGGAGTGCTTCTGGGAGGGACTCTTGCCCACCGCCAGCCCGAGGGGTATCAAGTTTGGACCTAGGGGCTGAGTGGTCAGGGGACCCCCCAGCCTGCACCCTTGACAGCCCCACAAGCTTTGCGCACGATGCTGGACCCCAGAATTCCCCTGGGACCTCCCTCCAAAGGCAATGGGCTATGAGTCATCCGTTCCCTTGGCCCAGGAAGTGACTCATGCCTGCCCTTCCTCCCGGCCCCCATCCCTCCGCCCACCGCCCCTTTTGGGTCTCCCTGGATCGTTGGGGTCTGCACTGCCTCCCTGGCATTCCCACGTGGGCAGGGACTGGCCGCCTCCCCCAAGCCCTCCCCATGCCTCCACCTGTCGCTGAGCTGCCCTCACCCCCTCCCTCCCTTTCCCTCTGTTTCCATCCCACCCCCTTTCTAATTGTTTTTCTCTATCTTGCTCTCAATCTCCATGTCTGTGTCTCTCTGTCCGATCTCTGCCATTTCTGTCTCTCTCTGAGTGTCCTGTTTCTCTGTCCCTCTCTATCACTGTCTTAACTTCTGTTTCTCTCCATCTGTCTCTCCTCATCTCTCTGTCTCTGTTTCTTTCTCCCTCTCTCTCATCTCTGTTTTCTCTCCATCTCTGTCTTCTTGTCTGTCTCTGGTGAACCGTGAGGAGATCCCCATCTCTAAAGCCCCTGATGACTTGAGGAGGCCCCGAGAGTGGGGTGCCCCTGAGCAGCAGGTACAGCCGGGGAGGAGGTGCTCGTCCAGCACCACCCCCAACGTGAGCCCACAGCATCTTCCTGTGCGCAGGGGAGGCTAGGGTGAAATGTCACCACTGGGTCTCAAGACAGCCATCAGGGCTGACAGATATTGTGGGCGTGGTGTGCATGCACCTGCGTCCCCAAGGACGGCTGTGTGGGCTGGAGGATCTTAGATTCGGGGGTGGGGAGGATCTGAGAAAACACCCAGTCCTTTTCCTCCAACCCCCTCATTCTTACACAGAGAAACGTTGCACGGGGAACTCTACTCAATATTCTGCGATAACCTCTATGAGAAAAGAATCTGAAAAAGAATGAATACATGTGGGACTTCCCGGGCGGTCCAGTGGTTAAGATTCTGAGCTTCCACTTCAGGGTTGGATCCCTGGTCGGGGAACTAAGATTCCACATTCTTCTCGGTGCGGCCAAAAAAAAAAAAAAAAAAAAAAAAGAATGAATATATGCATATGTGTCACTGAATCACTTTGCTGTACGCCCGAAATTAACACAACATTGTAAATCAACTATAATCCCATGTAATTTTTTTTCAAAAAGAAAAGAAACGTTGATGACAGTAAACACTTTGACACACCAGGTGATATTCGGAGGCTTACTTCTCACACTACTCTAGGAAATGGGTCCCGTCACCATCCCCATTCTACAGAAGGGGAAGCTGAGGCTCTGAGAGATGAGGTAACCTGACCACAGTCCAGAATTTGAACTGTGGCTGCCAGGCTCCAGAGTGTTTGCTGACCTGTTGCCGACAGAGCCCACAGGTCCGTGGGAGCCAGGACCCCCTCGGTGCTTGGGCCCCTTCTCCATCCCTCAGTTTCTGAAATCCACCTCCAGGTGACAGGTGGCAGAGCCTCTGGCCATGGGTGTCCAGTCTCTGGGAGGTGCCACGTACTCACTCTCTCCTTGAGCAACGGACAGAGCCCAAGCCTGGGAGGGGCCAACAGCCCCCTTTCCACAGTTGCTTCTCTCTTAGCGTTGCATCTGCCCTTCCCTGCTCTGGTGACCCCCTTGACCCTCCCCTTCTCTGTTCCAGTGCTGTGTGTCTTGCTGACTCTGTCGGAAGCTGGGTCCCGGAACACCACGGGTGAGTCTGCTGGGAGCAACTCAGTCCACAGCCGGAGCCTGGGGAAGGGGCCCTAGACCCTCACCCACCCCCCTCAGCCCAAACAGGAGAGAGGCCTGTTGCAGGGGGAAGGCCAGGGTCAAGCCTCCCCAACACCCCTTCTTATGGAGATGATCCTGCCCCCCTCCCCAGTCCCTGACTCAGCCCTCACGTTCTGACCAAGGTCTCCATCCCCACAGCCTGTGCTAGGCAGTGCCCTGCAAACTCCTCATGTGTCGGTGGCGACGTCTGCCGCTGCGCTCCGGGATTCAGTTCTTCATCTGGGGAGGACTTCACCGACACCTTCGGCAGCTGTGATGGTACAGAGGCTTGGGGGTGATGGAGGGACATGCAGAGATTGTGGGGTGCAGTCCAATGCCCGTGGGGGGATATGGGTGTTGGTTGGGGGCTTCAGCCTTTCTCCTCAGGACCATCATCAAGGACAGAAAAAAGAGAAAGGAAAAGCTATGAGAGAGGTGGAGAGATGAGACATGAATAAACATGGCCTCCTGGAGAGAGAGAGGAACTGGGTCTCCAGGAGTCTGGAGTCTGTGCCTCAGTTTGCCCTTTCAGGACTGAGGAGGGGGATGCAGAGCTTCCACCCACCCCCCACTTCAGCACTTCCCACGGTGTCCCAATCTGGGGTGCCAGCCAGAGGGCCAAGAAGAGCAGAGCTGATTGCACAAGCTTCAGGAATGGCTTGCTCCAGCCGCAGCCCAGCCTCAGCAGTATTGCCTGAGAGTCTAATTCTTTCTAAAAAGACACTGATTAGCCATCAGGACCAGTGCTGGGGAGCCAGGTAGGGGATGGGGATCTCTGCCCTGACCAAACTCACGCCTTTGGGAGGTGACCCTTTGCCCTGCTGTGTTCCAGACATCAACGAGTGCGGACCACCCTTGACAGTGTCCTGTGGAAAATTAGCAGACTGCCAGAACACGGAAGGGGGCTATGACTGCATGTGCATCCCAGGATATGAGCTTACTTCTGGGGCAACAGTGTTCAAGAATGAGAGTGAGAACACGTGTCGAGGTAAGAATGACCCGCATCTTCCACTTCTCCATCCATGAGGTTTGGGGTCACCCAAATACTGAGGCATTCCTGTAGCATCCAGGGGTCAGGGCTTTGGTTACAGGTGTAGCACCCAGGTCTGAGTTGGGACAGATGTACCTGTGCCTTTCCCACCTGCACAGAGAGGCAGGGCGGCATGAGCCAGGGACCCAAATCCTGGCTTTGCCACCTGATAGCTGTGTGTGTGACACTGGCCAGGATACTTATTCAGAAATCACCGTTAACATGTGGGATGTGATAATACTATTGCGAGAGTATGGCTTTTTTTGTTTTTGTTTTTGTTTTGCGGTACGCGGGCCTCTCACTGCCGTGGCCTCTCCCGTTGCGGAGCACAGGCTCCGGACGCACAGGCTCAGCGGCCATGGCTCATGGGCCCAGCCGCTCTGCGGCATGTGGGATCTTCCCGGACCGGGGCACGAACCCGTGTCCCCTGCATCGGCAGGCGGACTCTCAACCACTGCGCCGCCAGGGAGGCCCTGTTTTGTTTTTTTAGAGTCTCTATCTTTTACAGATAAAAACAAAAGGAGCTTTGCCTTTTATTAACTGTGTGATTTTGGACAAGTTACTTCACCTCTCTGTGCCTCGGTTTACCCATCTGTAAAAAGGGGGTGACCAATGGCGCTTATTACCTCATAGAATTGCCAGGAAGGCATAGGAGATCACAAAACACAAAACAGTGATGGCTGTTGGGTTTTTAAATTATAATGATTATGAGTTAATGTACCCTTTCCAGGACGGGCATCCCTGTGGTTTGTGCCCCACGGTGGGTGCTCGCGAGTAGCTGTCCCAGTCCATCCCCTTACCAGGGACCCCGGAGGAGCCTGGTCTCCACACATCACCAGGTTTTGCCCCCTTTCCAGAGGGGGCAGGCAGGCAGGGAAAGGGGCAGATGGGGCCAGCAGTGGACAGACAGGAGCCACGACTCCAGAGAGGGGTCCAGAGAGGGGATTAGACGTGAATACTGAGGACGGGGAGGGGAAGGTGGGAGGTGAGGAAGAGGCTGAACCCAGGGTCCAGAGGACCCTGAGTAGGGTCCACAGGCCCACCCTGCGGCTACCTTGGTCCCAGCGCCTTCCCTCCTGCCCTGCAGAGGGAGGGCGGCAGAGCCTCCCTGGTGGGAGGGAAGAGAGGACCTGCATCTATGTGGAGGTGCTGCTGGTCCACAGGGGCCTCTGTGGGGGTATGCTGTGCTTGAAACCTGTGGCCTGGCCAGAACCTTCACGTGAACTGGAAAAATGTCCCTCATCTCCAAGGTGAATACTGTGTGTTTAGGGAATGGAGAGTGAGCTGGTTTTCCTCTCCCACTTGCCTCCTTGGCTGGACACCCTTGTGCAGTCAGGAACCTGCACAACTGTACATGGTGGTCATGGAGCCCACTCAGTGTGCCTTGGCTGGGGGTGCCACCCACCCACTGTTGTGAGCCCCTGCAGAGACACAGATGAACAAGAGTGAGGTGTGAGAGGGAGCTCTACGGACCTCAAGGAGGGTGACTGCGAGAGAGTAGCCTGCTGGTTTGGACCAGAGTTTGCTGCCTGAAGACCTAGCTCTGTGACTGGCTCAGCTGGACTGTCTGTGCACCCCTTCCTCAGCATTCCAACCTTTGCCACACCTGAGGATGTGTCCGCCCGTGTCCTGGCCGTGGGGTCCGCTACGGGCAGGAGACACGGGCTGCTCCCTGGGTTCCTCATCCCACTTTCTCCAGGCATCAGAGGGCCGTCTTGTGCACGTACCTCATCTCCCAACCCTCTCTGAACCCCAAGGCTCAGAACCCTTTGCAGAGGGTCACTTCCAGATGTTTGGAACATCCCCCCGGCCACCTGGCATCTTATGTGCATGAAACAAAAGAGTGGCTGGCATTCAAGATACTCAATGAGGTCACAGCACCGTGTGTTCCAGCACACTATCTGCCCTCTTCGCCGCTCTTAGTGACTGCTGGGAGGAGACCTGCCCCTCTGGGGCCCTCTCAGACCCCCTGGGCCATGGTGGACCCTGGGACCCTGTCCAGAAATGCGGGAGGAGGGAGATTCAAGGACAGGTCCACCGTCCCTGGCCAGCCCTGCCCTGGCTCAGCAACCTGCCTGGAAAAGATGCCTCCTGGCACCCTGACCCCAATTCTCAGCCACTCAGCTTCCATCTATTTCCCCACACAAGGCTCCACCCTGACCCTTCCCCAGTAATTCCAGTTCACGGACCTGAGACAGCTCTGATGACTGGGGCCTGGGAGGACGTTGTGTCAGGGGTGGGCAGGGTGACGTCGAGCCCCCAACACACTGGAAGAATCAGATGAACAAAGAGGCTCCCATCTGGACCAGATGACAGGACAGGTTGTCATCCGGGACCATTGCCCCTGGCCTGACCCTCTACCGAAGAGATCAACCCAGGCCCCACGATGACCCAGACCACTTGGGGACAGAAGACGGAGGCTGAGCCCCACTCAGCAGGGTCCACGGGTCTACGTCCCAGGTGAGAGGCCAAGGGCCAAGATGACAGAAACACCTGCCACCCTTCATGCATGACACCTGCTCCCTGCTCCAGCCACCCAGCCATTGCCCACTGCAGGCCTTGCTCAGACGTGGATTCTCACCACTTCCTGCCAATCTAGGCGATGCCTTCGTGGGAATCAGAAAAAGGCACCTTCAGAGGCCCAAGGCTGCCTGGCCAGACGTCAGCCCCACTGTCCAGCACAGCCTGGTGCCCACTGTCCAGGTGGCCCTGGCCTTTCCGGCATCACCCTCATTTTCTGTGCCACTGCCCAAAAGCCTCGTCCTTGAGGGGCGTGGCTCAGGGGTGGGTCTTGGGGCATCTCCATGGAGCTGGAGTCTCAGAGTTAGCATGGACAGGAGAGTGCTGTCCCGCCAGGGTCACCAGGATCCAAGGAGAACTCAGCTGACAGCACTCCCTCTGGGGGAGTCAGGACAAAGCCCATCACCGGGAGCCAAGATGAGGCCTCCCTGCTCAGGGAACACAGCATTTCTCCTGCACTCGGTTCCCAGGAAGGCACGCCCAGGCCTGTGTCCAAATCCTTAGGCTGGGACACAAGCAGCTGTGATGTCCCCACCACAGCTGGGAGCTTCCCAGGGAGGCTGAGAGAGCCAGAGCCGGCAGACGGGGGAGGACTTGGGTCACTCCTGGCCACGTCTGGACAACAGAACATCTGGGCCACCATGCTCACCCACGGGATGCCTCCATGTGAATTAGAAAAGACCCACTCACCGACGGAGAGAGAGTGGGCCCGGAAGGCTGTCCACAGTTGCAGGCATCCATCGTTGTCTCCTTTCCCTTGCAGATGTGGATGAATGTCAGCAGAAACCCAAAGTCTGTAAAGGCCGCAGTGTCTGCATCAACACGCCGGGCAGCTACATCTGCCGGTGCCCACCTGGCTTGAAGCTCAACCTGGAGGACCCAAGACATTGCACAGGTAGAGGCCCTGGGAAGACAGTGTGAGGCTGGCCTGGAGCTGAAGAAGGAGTCGAGGTGGTCCCTGGAGCCTGAGGAGGAGGGAGAAGAGCCTCAGGTTCCTGCAATGCCAAGGGCCTGCCCGGGCCCTGCCCAAGGATTCGCCTCCCCGAAAGGTCCCACCACAGGCCAGGGAGGCGGCAGAGCCTTCTGGGCCTGGGGTTCCCTTGTGGAGTTCCCTGCCCCTGTGAACATCCCCAGACCTCGCCCCTTCCTCATCTGTCACATTCGAGCAGAGGAAGCTGTCACTTCCTGTTCCCAGAAGGGGAACCTCAGTCCAGGGCTGGACTTCCAGACCCCACGACTCAGTCTCCCTCCTGGTTTTACTATAAAGTGGGGACCATGGCCCCTGCCACGCCCATCTTGCAGGGAGGCTACCTTAAGGTGCTTTGAGGGTGAAGTTGAAGGTCACCAGGTGATGGCACGTGCAATCACAGTGGGGTCCTTGGTGCTGGGCAGTGATAAGCGGGTACAGTGAGAAGTGGAAGTGGGGGCGCCTGACCCTCTGGCTTTGTCCTCAGATGTGAATGAATGTACCTCGGGGAGAAACCCATGCCACAACTCCAGCCACTGCTTCAACCTCGTGGGCACCTATAAGTGCCACTGCCGTCCAGGCTGGAAGCCAGTTCCTGGGGCCCCCAGCAGCCCAAACAACACTGTCTGCGAAGGTTCAGAGCTCAGATGCTATGTTCTTGGAGACCCACACTTAAAACATCTGATCACATATTCAGTGGCACCCACCCAAACCAAACAGAAAGAATGCTGGGGGAGCCCTGCTGTGCCAGGCATTAATTTTTTGGGGCTAAATGTCAAAACATCTGGGGGTCCTGGAGAAGGAGCTGGGGTACCAAGAGATAAGCTCCCAGGGACTCCAGGCAGCAGCTAATTACTGAGACGAAGATACTTCAGTATTTTCACAACCTGCCTATCTGTATGGGGCCCACCTGCTACGTGTCAGAACTCTGCACACTTCCCGTAAATAACCTCAGCGTGCACCGTTCGATGATGTGCAGTCAGCAGGTGGCATCACCTCCGGGCGTGGGAGGGGGCACTGATATGGGAAAAAGAGGGGCACAGAGAGGAGAGGGGCCTCATCAGGGCTGGGACAGAGCCAGACCCCCTTCTTCGTGTCCCCAGATATGGATGAGTGCAGCTCCGGGCAGCATCAGTGTCACAACTCCACCATCTGCGTCAACAACGTGGGTTCATACACGTGTCGGTGCCGCCAAGGCTGGGTGCCCAAACCCGGATTCCAGGATAAGCAAATGGGCACCATCTGCGAAGGTACCTGTCCTGACCTGACCCCAGACCCCCTCCTACAACAAGCACAGACACTCTCACACCTAATGAACTGCTGTCCTGTCCCCTGCAGAGATCTCCTTCCCCACCTGGACCGCACCCCCTGAAATCAAGAGCCAGGTGAGTGGCCCCAGCAGGGAACAGGAGACAGGAAATCTTCCACCCAGCTCACCCTGTCCACCCATTTTCCCCAAGCTCCCCCATCCAGGATGAGGTTCTCTGACCCCCCTTCTCTCCCCTCTCTCCAGAGTCTCTCTGACTTCTTTGAAAGAGTCCAGAAAATGAGCATAGACTTCAACTCAGCCTTGCCTCAGGAAACCATCCAGGTAAGGGCAGGCCCTGGGGGGGAACCCCAGGACAGTATGGGGTGGCTGGAAGATGCTTCAGTGTGAGTGGAGATGCCCAAGCAGGGGCCTCTGTGTCTGTATGCACAATATACACACACACCATATATATACATTGTACAAACACAGACATACATACACACCCCAAAATGTATACACACACACACACACACACACACACACACATTTGAGAGGGATATAATGGCAATAGAATGAAGCAGTTGAGAATTTCACCTCTGGAGCCAGGCCTCAAGGTTCAAATACACCCCATCCTACCCGCTGCCACTTCCTGCTGTGTGACCTCAGGCAAGTGACTCCCCCTCTCTGGGCCTGTCTCCTCACTTCATAAATGGTGCCTGCTTCATACAGGTGGTGAAAAGGTTTAAATGAACTAATAGAAGTAAGGCTCAAAGAATAGTGCCTGGCACACAGTATAAGCAGTATACGTAAGCTTTGGCATATGTCCTTAGCCTGGTAGAAATATTGAGCCCCTAAAAAATAATAATAATAACTTTTAAAAAGAGAAATATATGAGGAACTTCCCTGGTGGTCCAGTGGGTAACACTCCACACTCCCAATGCAGGGGGCCTGGGTTCCCTGGTTGGGGAACGAGATCCCGCATGCATGCCGCAACTAGTAAGAGTCCTCATGCCCCAACTAAAGATGCCGCATGCCGTACAAAGATCCCATATGCTGCACCCAAGACCCGGCGCAGCCAAAATAAATAAGTATTAAAAGAGAGAGAGAGAGAGAGAGAGAAACATGTGAGCCCCTTGTGTCATTTAAAATTTTCCTGTAGCTACATTTTTACAATATAAAAGTAGGGCTTCCCTGGTGGCACAGTGTTTGAGTCCGCCTGCCGATGCAGGGGACGCGGGTTCGCGCCCCGGTCCGGGAAGATCCCACATGCCGCGGAGCGGCTGCGCCCGTGAGCCATGGCCACTGAGCCTGTGCGTCCGGAGCCTGTGCTCCGCAACGGGAGAGGCCACAACAGGGAGAGGCCCACGTACCACAAAATAAAAATAAAAAATAGTAAGATATAAAAGTAAAGAATAAATTTAAGAGTAAAAGTAAACAAGTGAAATTAATGTGAAAATTGCATATAACCCAATAGATTCAAACTATTACCATTTCAACGTGGAGCCATATTTCAAGCGACACCTGTGGCTCGGGGCAACCGTTCTGGGGCAGGAAAGGGCCTGTGCCTGATAAATGTTAAGCGCTGTCGTTGTTATAATACGTGCACGCAGGCATATACTCAGTCCCCTTACTTGTCTTCTGGCTACTGCAGTGTCTTGAAGATTCCCCTGTGTCTGTCCCCCAGGCAACCCAGGTGGTTCTCCAGTGTGTACCCCAGTTGTGGGGGCGGGGTGAGGGGAGGTGAGATCAGGGTCCTTCAGGCAGCCCCTGTGGTGCAATGACCCAGCAGCTGTCATCCAACACCCACAGTACCTCATCATGTCACTGGATGACCTGTTGAAAACCCCAGGGGACCTGGAGGCCTTGGACCTGTCTTCCAGGCACCACACAGCCACCTACCTGCTCTCAGGCCTCGAACAAATCCTGAGGACCCTGGCCAAAGCCATGTCTAATGGCTCCTTCATCTACCATTCTCCTGGGGACACAGGTGAGACCCCGTCCTGCTCCGCCCCAGCCCCGGGCCCCCCTCATACACCCAGAGCCCCTGATCACTGCCCCCTGTCCCCTCAGAGCTGTCCCTGATGGTCCAGGAGCAGGGGAATGGAAACATCACCGTGGGCCAGAGCCAGGCACGGATGCTGCTGGACTGGGCCGTGGCAGCTGGAGCCGAGAAGTCCGGTAATGGCAGGATACGGAGTGGGCACCTGAGGGAGAGGGATGGAGAAGCTGGGATATGGCTAGGGGTGAGATTCCGAATATGCAGCAACTGAAAACTGACCCATGGGGAGGGACTCCAGGCATCACAGTGGACTGGTGAGCCTGAATTAGACATCTTAGGAGGTTGGATGGGGCACAGAAGGAAGCAGAGCAGAAGGTAGCCAGCGTGTCTGTCCCCCAGGTCCCACCGTGGTAGGAATCCTCTCCAGCCCGAACATGCAGAAATTGCTGGCCAATGCCTCTTTGGACCTGGACTTGGAGAAGCAAACCGAGCTGAAAGAGATCTACGAAAGTCCTGTCCGCGGTGCCCAGCTCAGGCTTCTTTCAGCCGTCAACTTGGTCTTTCTGAGCAACACGAACACAGATAAACTCAACTCCAAGGTCACCTTCGCCTTCTCCCACCCTGTGAGTCCTTGGGTGGGGAGGGGGGTTCAGCCCTACTGCTCACCCCATGGCCAAGGTCACCGTGGTCCCTCTGCAGCCTTTGTTTCCCCACTTCCACCCACTCTGCTCCTTCCTTACAGGTATCTCAGGGCCTTTGCACTTGCTGTGCCCTCTGCCTGGGACACCTTTCCTCCACATGACTCAGTCCTTTACCTGTCTCCAGTCTTTGTTCAAATGTCACCTCCTTTTCTAGGCCTTCCCTGACCTGCTTATTTTAAATTACAATCTGTAATCACACCTCACCTTTCTCCTTTGCTCTTTTCTTTCTTTCTTTTGAACTCAGCACCTTCTAACACACTATCTAGTTTACTTATTGAAAATTTATTAGGTTTATTATTTTCTGTCTGTCTCCCCCACTAGTATGTCAGCCCCAGAAGGACAGGGACTTGTGTCTGCCCTGTTTACTCCCGTGTCCCCTGGCCTGACGCACACAGTAGGTGCTCAGTAGACAAAGGCCAAATGAAAAACAGCCCTCTTTGGGTTCAACCCAAGCCCAGTACCCAAGAGTGGGCTCCAGGCTAACCTCTACCACCGCCCCTACCTGCTCACAGTGGGAGATGCCTGGGACAAGGCAGGAGCTGATCTGCGCCTTCTGGAGGAGTGACAGCAACAGGAGAGGGTACTGGTCCACCTCGGGCTGCCAGACGCTGGGCAGCGGGAATGGCAGCACCACCTGCCAATGCAATCATCTGAGCAGCTTTGCCATCCTCATGGCCCACTACGATGTGGAGGTGAGCAGACCAGGGGCCATCCGCAAAAGCCCACAGGTGGCACGGCTGGCTTCGGTGAGACAGGCAGCTGGTTCTTGGGGGTACGGTCCACCTGATTCTGTATGGCTGCACAGCCCAGGCGGCCCTACACCACACCTCCCAGCGCCTTCCCTGGGACCCCCCCAGACCTCCACATGACCCAGCAACTAAACAGAGTGGCCTGGCACTGCAGGCCCTGCTCCAGCCGGTGCCCCTCTGACCGCTCACCCCCTAACAAGTTGTTAAATATCCCTAAAAGCTCCTGAGGGAGCACAGCTTTCTGTATGTGGCCTCAGAGGGACCCATAGATACGCTGGGCCATGTGAGTACCTGGAATGGGCCAGGCAGAGGAGGGGAGGCTGGTGGTCCAGGCCCAAGGCCCAGGAAGGACAAAAATGTGGGTTTTGAGGAGCTCATAGGTGTGGCCAGGTGTAGGAGGGGCAAGAGATGAGATAGAGATGAGGGTCAGAGAGATGGGCTCATCAGTGTTGGGAAAGAAGGTTGCAGCCATTGAGGCCTCACTGGGGACCTTCTCAGGAGAGCTGTCTGGGTGTGTAGTGGAGAAGCCCATCCGGAAGAACTAGGGATCCCTGCTGCACCCATGGGGGTGGGGGGGGGCGGTATTTAGGATGAGACACAGCAGGTTTACTCAGATGTTGATGGCAGAAGAGGTGGGGGGGAGATGAGCCACTGATCAGAGTCCTACAGGCCAGGTCCCAGGTGCCTGCTGGTGGTGGGGCCCACAAGGAGGGCAGGAAGGCCTCAGAGCACTAATCGAGTCCCGCCCACCCCGTCCTGCATCCAGGACTGGAAGCTGGCCCTGATCACCAAGGTGGGACTGGCTTTGTCGCTGGTCTGCCTGCTGCTGTGCATTCTCACCTTCCTGCTGGTGCGGCCCATCCAGGGCTCGCGCACCACGGTGCACCTGCACCTCTGCATCTGCCTCTTCGTGGGCTCTACCGTCTTCCTGGCGGGCATCGAGAACGAAGGCGGCCAGGTGAGGCCCCGCCCCGTGGAAGGCCCCACTCTCGCCTGAGCGCTAGACCTACCTGCGAGGGCCCTGAGTGGAATAGCCCCACCCACTCCCAGCTGGGTCCGGTGGTCGGGCCCGGGAAGCCCAGGGCCCCGCCCATTCGCCCGCTTTAAACCCCGCAAGGCCACGCCCTGACTCCGCCTGCCATCCGGCGTCGGGCCCGCCCATCGCTGACGTCACCTGTCCCTCCGCCCCGCCCCCGCCCCGCAGGTTGGGCTGCGCTGCCGCCTGGTGGCCGCGATGCTGCACTACTGCTTCCTGGCCGCCTTCTGCTGGATGAGCCTCGAGGGCGTGGAGCTCTACTTCCTCGTGGTGCGCGTGTTCCAAGGCCAAGGCCTGAGAAAGCGCTGGCTGTGCCTGATCGGCTACGGCGTGCCGCTGTTCATCGTGGCCGTCTCGGCAGCCATCAAGAGCCAGGGCTACGGCCGCCCCCAGTAGTGAGTGCGAGGTGGTGGGAGAGGGCCAGGGCGTGGAGGCTGCACCCAAACACAGTGCCCCTGCTCGCCTGTGACCCCGCCCTCTGGGCTTACTGGGTGCTGACCAGACCCCTCCCTTCTCGCCCAGCTGCTGGTTGGACCACGCCAACGGCTTCCTCTGGAGCTTCCTGGGACCTGTGACCTTCATCGTTTTGGTAACTGCCTCACTCCCCACCCCACACCTGTGGAAACCTGAGGTGCTTGGCTCCACACTGAGCCGGCTCCACCGGCTTTCTCCCTGTGAGCTCCAAGGACACCCCCTAATCCGAATTCTGTGCTCCCCACCCAGTGCAATGCTGTCATCTTCGTGATTACTGTCTGGAAGCTCACTCAGAAGTTTTCTGAAATCAACCCAGACATAAAGAAACTAAAGAAGGCCAGGTGAGAGCAGGGGCAGGGAGGGGGCCTGGCAGGAGTGGGTGTGTGAGGCGAGGACCTTACGCGGCAACTGCCCACCTCCCCACAGGGTGCTGACCATCACCGCCATCGCCCAGCTCTTTGTGTTGGGCTGCACCTGGGTCTTCGGCCTGTTCCTCTTCGACCAGCGTAGCTGGGTGCTGTGCTACACCTTCAGCATCCTCAACAGCCTGCAGGGCCTCTTCCTCTTTGTGCTGTACTGCCTCCTCAACAAGAAGGTGGGCTGCAGGGCGGGCTGCGGGCGGGGCTGGGACCCTAGTCCCGGGGCCCCCTCCTCCCCTGACCTGGCACCCTGTGCCCCACAGGTGAGGGAGGAGTACCGGAGGTGGGCCTGCATGGTCACCAGGAACAAGTACTCCGAGTTCGCCACATCCACCTCTGGGTCTGGCTCCAGCCAGAGTCAGACTCAGGTAAGGGCTGAGCCTGGAGCGGGGGTGCAGGCCATAAGGCACCTGGGCCTGGGGTCAGTTCTCACGGGGCTCCTTTCTCTCCAGGCCCTCAGGCCCTCAGAGTCTGGCATGTGAAGGCGCCGTCCTGGCCGGGCCAGCGGCTCCCGTGGCCTCCGCAGCTCCTGCACATGCTGAAGACCTCCTCTCCTCTCCCACTGCTCTGCTCCCTCCTGCCCTGGTCCCCATACGCACCATGGAGAGGAGGGTGACAACTGCCACCTGGCACCGTACTCCAGAATACCCAGCCAGGGTGGAGAGCCGGACCTACTGGGCCTGCTTCTGGCTGCCTCTCAGCTCCACCCTAGCCAGGACCCAGGGCAGGGGCAGAAGCTGGCCCAGGACTGCAGCCCCTTGCCCTGGCACACAAGGCCCAGACAGACTGAGGGCTCCTGTGCCCAGCCTGGCCCTCCCCGCTCATCTGTCTTTGCTACAGAACAAGAGGCCAGGGTGCTGGGGCTCAGCACCGGTTAAGCTAAGACTGAGGTCAGGGGTGGGAGAAGGGCAGGGCCGAAGGCTCATGGTACAGAGGCCCATCTGCCCCCAGGGCAGAGGGTTCTCACTGATGTGAAGGCTGTGGATACTGTGTAATGTTTTTTATCTGTATAAACCTTTCAGTGTTGACACTTAAAATTAAATATCACGTTGACATAGAAAGTGGCATTTCTTCCTGGCTAAGGGCTCGGAGACCAGGCCCATGGTTTTCCACCAAGTGCCGAGAGCTGACAGAAACAGACAGGGTGGGAGCCAGGCTTCCATAATAAAAATTTATTCTTACACAAATCTACAGCTTTTAAACAGTAAAAAAAAAGGCCCACTGTCACCTAGGAAGAGGACTTGAAGCAACACGTGGGAAGCAGGGAGGCTCCAGGACATCCAGGCACATGGTTACCGGCTCTGCTCAACTGTAGGACACACACAGGGAAGGTCAGTGAGGAGGGGGCGGGGGGAAGAAAGGGCCCCACCGCCGTGGCCCCCCAGCCCCGTCTGAGCCACTTACTGTATGTGGAGATGTCTATTTCTTCTGGAAGCTCTGCCACATTCACTTCAAACCGGTCCTGGACATCATTGAGGATTTTGGCATCATTCTCATCAGACACGAAAGTAATGGCCAGGCCTTTGGTACCAAAGCGACCCGCACGGGCCACCTGCAGGGAGACAGGAGCAGGGGTCAGGCCACAAGACACAAGCTGGGGATCTGAGAACAAGCAGGGAGAGGTCTTCATCCAACACCAATCCTGGGAAGGGGGCACCAGGGAGGGGACACCTCTGGGGGGCCACTCACGCGGTGGAGGTAGGTGTCTGAGTCCTCGGGCATGTCATAATTGAAGACAATGTTGACACGCTCAATGTCCATTCCTCGGCCAAACAGATTGGTGGCCACCAGGATCCGCCGCTGGAAGTCCTTAAACTGCTGATAACGTGACAGGCTGGGCGCAGGAGGAACAAGGGGCGGCCATCAGATACAGGGATCCTGGGCGGCGTTCCCCTCCAAGGGGCCTGCCTGGGGCTCTGAGGGCGGCATGCACTCACCGCTCCTCCTGGGCCATGCCCCTGTGGATGGCAATGGCTGGGAAGTTCTGCTCCACGAGGAGCTGGGCCAAGGCCATGCAGCGCTGCACCGACTTCACAAATATCACCACCTGTGAGGGAGGGGGCGGCAGTCAGGGCCAGAATCCCTCCCAAAGGCTTAGAGCCCCAGGACAGGCCCCAGGAGTGCGGAAGCATCACCTGGTTAAACTCCAACACATCCAGGAGGTCAAAGAGCTTGCGGTTCTTCTCACTGTCCTTAAGTTTGACGTAGTACTGCTGCAGCCCATGCAGCGTGAGCTTGGTTTCGTCGTCCACAAACACCTCCATGGGCTGTGCCGGAAGGAGAGGAGGAAGGGGCAGGCAGGGCTTACTTCTGGGCATCCTGCCTGCCGAGAACTTTCCAGGAGCGACTCCTTTGCTTTGCTGCAATGCTTCCAGAGAGCCTGCTGTACCCCAGTAAATACTCCTCTCTCAGCAGCTGCATCTAAGGTCTGGTCTGGCTCTAGTGTAAACCAAGCTCTCAGCTCCCAGCGTGACAAGCGAGGAAGAGAACTCCGCTGGCCTCCCAGCATTCGTGTGCCGTGAGGGCAGTGTGGGAGTGGGGGAGCAGCAAGGGCCTGGACTCTAGGAGGCCAAAGCTACTGCACCGAGGTCTCGGCCTCTACTCACGTCTTGCATGAACTTCCTGCAGACGGGCCGGATCTCCTTGCTCAGGGTGGCGCTGAACATCATGCACTGCTTCTCGTGGGGTGTCAGGCGGAAGATCTCCTGCACGTCCCGCCGCATGTCTGGGTGGGGAGGGCAAGAAACAGGTGGGCGTGAGCGCCTGCCAGACCACGACCCCCACCCGAGACCAGATCCAGCCCCTCCCAACCTGTGCCAGGGAGCCGTTGGCACCATGACGAGGGCGGTGTGAGCGAGGACTGGCTGGAGGGGAGAGTCCCAGGTGCCTGAAGGCCCGGACTCGGGGTGAGCACAGGCGCGGGAGGAGCGGCAATCCACTTACACGCTGCCAGAGCGGAGCAGCCGTGCCAGCGCGCCTCGAGCCACGCTTCAGGGAGGGGAGCCTGAGGCAGAGACAGCCGCTGGGGTGAGAGCTGCAGCCGCCTCCCAGGACACAAGCCCCATCTCCCACCGGCCCTGTCAGGGCTCACTGAGGGCAGGCAGGGGCCTAGAACTAACCCAACAGGCAGCGAGGCCACGGTACACTGAGGGCTAACGTGGACATATGCCTGGACACGGCTCATGTGGGGTGCCATGGTCCCACTCAAGCTTCAGCTCAGAAGCAGCAGGTCACTCTGCCGACACCAGAACTCGCCCTAAAATCGCTTACAGGAGACCTGAGTGCTGGCCACCCACGGGATCCCACTTCAGGGAAACCTCCGGCCTGCCCTGTCAGGACCCGCCTAGCTCTGACGTCTGGGGGGCTGCGAGGGCGAGGAGGGTGCGGCTGCGTGGGCCTCCACAGCCCCCAGACCCAGCGAGGACACTCACCCAACTGCTCCAGCATCTTGTCGCACTCGTCCAACACGAAGTGCTTCACATTCTTCAGGTTGAGGCTCCTGTTCCGCACAAGCGCCAGGATCCGGCCCGGCGTCCCCACCACGACGTGGGGACAGTTCTTCTTCAACACCTCCTCGTCCTTCTTGATGGACAGGCCCCCGAAGAACACAGACACCTATGCAGGCGGAAAGCTCCTTTCACCATCTGGCGGCCGAAAGCTCACCCCCCCACTCCGTGCCTACGGCCACTCAGCTAACAGCCCGCCAGCAGCCCCCCAGCAGGCCTGGTGCCTGGAGACAGTGGAGGCCTGAGTCTGGCCCCAGCTTCACCGAAAAGCAGCCCCAGGGCTGGGACCAGCACAGGCCTCTGGGGGCCATGCATAATTCATCAAGCTTTTAAGGAGCAGAAACCACCACAAACCTCAAAGGCAGCCGCTGCAGCCAAGCCTGGTTAATGCTGGCTGGGCTAGAGCCGAGGCCAGCAAGGCTGCAGAGGACCACATGGCACCCAACCTGGCCTGAGGGGCTCACCTTGACGCTGGGCATGTATTTGGAGAAGCGCTCATACTCCTTGCTGATCTGGAAGGCCAGCTCTCGAGTGTGGCACATAACCAGGACCGTCACCTGTGGGGCCGGTCAGGGAGAGACACTCAAAACAGTCCCCTAAGTCCTCCCCCGGCCAGAGCCCACGCCGGTGCTCATCCCTTGGCGGCCCCCAGCCCTTGGGCCATTGGAAGGCGCAGTCCAGATGCCTCCATCTTCTCACAGCCCGCTCATTCTCTGTGTCTTCTCACAGCTACGCAGCTGTGACTCCCTACGCCAGGTCCTGCACTGAGGCCTCAGTAAGAGTTAGATCCAGCCTAGCTGGTGACACGCCCCATGCTAACAGCTTCCTGAGCCTGCCCTCGGGCTGGCCTGTGACCACCAAGGAGAAGGCTGCCCCTGCCTCTTGGCCCACAACACCAAGCACTGAGACCACACCATGGCCTTGAACAAAATCCTCCTCTCCTTGACCATCCAGCCTAAGGTGGGTAACAAGGGCTCATGCACCTATACGCAGCCCAAGGATGTGTGCCCCAGCATGTCAAGAATGAACACCAGCATGCACCTCAATTATCCCCCAAAACAGGGGACTACAATGTTCACGACATGAGAAGTACAGCTATGGCCTGTCAGCAATAACAACAGGAACAAAACCGTATTCAGTGTAAGCCCACCTTCGTAAGCGTGTACGATCTAGAAGAGCACATATGGAACGAGCAGCCGTCTTGCTGGATGGCCAAATTGTGGGCACTTTTTAGTTTTTTCTCTTGGCTTGTTGTCTTTGGGGCGATTTTGTTACAACTGAGTACTGTGTTTAATTTTAAAAGTCCAGAAAGAGGATGCAGGAACAGGGATTTTTAAAAAGAGGAGCCATGACTCCTGCTGCTTCAGGTAGCTTGGGCCTAGGAAGGAGGGTTCCCACCCACCTGTCCGTTGACGGGCTCAATCTGCTGCAGGGTGGCCAACACAAAAACCGCTGTCTTGCCCATCCCTGACTTGGCCTGGCACAGGATGTCCATGCCCAGGATGGCTTGTGGAATACACTCGTGCTGGACTGAGGGGGAGAGAGCATATGAGCTATCAGAAACCAGATGTTCCCTCTGTGCAGGCCCCTCACCGGGTGGCTGAGGGGACCACACTGAGGCGGTCAGAGGCAGGCCTCGGCGGGAAGGACCAGGGAGGCATACCCTCGGATGGATGCTCGAAGCCACAGTCCACTATGGCCCTCAGGAGCTCAGGCTTCAGCAGAAAGTCCCGGAAGCCAGAGCTGTGGATGGAAACGTAAGAACCCTTGACATCTTTCTTGGGAGCAGTTGGAGCGCTCTCTGGAGGAGCCTGGGGCTCTTCATCTTCCTCATAATCCAGAAGCTCGTTTTCCACATCCTGTTCCGCCATGGTGCTGAGAACAGAGGAGGGAGGGAAGGGCTGAGGGAAGCAACTAAGGTGACTGATGCATGCAGGTAAACCCACCCAGCGTGGGAGAAGAGGGAGATGGCTGCACAGAAGCTGCAGGCTGTTGACACAGGTCCGAGAGGGGCGAGGTGCTGGCGTCAGCTCTTGTGAGCTGGCACAGAAAGCCACCCAGCCACTGAAGTCAAGACTGGACATCGTTCTCCGATCCCTCTTTAGCTCACGCCCGACACTGACAACAACAGCAGGTCCCACCACTCCATGTGTGCAGCACCTCCCAGCTTCTGCCTGTTGTGGCCACATCTCCACCATGCCCCGCCAAGCCACCTCACCTCTCCCTGCGCCCTGCCAGCGACGCCCACACGTGCACCCACACCCTCCGCCTCCAAGGGCTTCCCACTGCTCTAAGCGAACCCCCAGTTCCTCTCCGCCCGCAACCCTCCCCACTGGCCCCTGCCCACCTCACTCCACGCCACTCCTTTCAAACCACCCCCAGCTTTATCGGGCTGCTGATACTCATCGAGCCCCTACTCCAGCTCAGGCCGCCCACCCCCACCCCTGGGAACACACTGCTGCACTGCTTCCAGGTCTCTGCACAAATGCCTCCTTCTCAGCATCAAGGTCAAGGCCTCAGACCAGCTAGCTTCAAGGAGTCCCCTCCCCTT